AAGAAACTCACTCATTTCTAAATTAAGTGTGCAATCATGCATGATGCAGTCTAGAGGCTGAATATTCACTGGATTTAATAAGAATTTATTTGACCCAAATGCTGGGTCAGAAAGTTATCATATTAAAAGTGTCACCCATCTGGGAAGATACAGCTGAAATATTATTTGGAGATGGATGAGTATTCTTTGGAGAGCAGAAAATGCATACATGTGTTTAAAAAATCTATCTTGCTACTATCTGAGTTGGGATTTCCAGCAGAGTTTATAAAGTAAAATTCTCTCAACAGTAAGGCTCACTGATTTTAACCTTTAAAAAAATACAAAGTAAAGTATGTTTTTGCTTTTTAAGCATATGAGACCTAGGACTTCATCCCTACTTCCTTTTAGTTGTTTATTCACTGAATTTCCTCTCAGATCAGTCACTTCTTATCTGTGTGAACCTTTCTCAAGTTACCTAACTTCTCTGTGCCTCTGTTTTTTTGGCTATAAAATGGGAAAGAAGAACAGTATCTCATCGTGCTTTTCTGAGAACTGCAGGAGTTTAGAACAGTGCTTGGAATAGAGTAAGTGCTCTGTAAACAGTGGTGACCTTTACTTACTGAACATCTACTATGTGCCAAACAATGTAATGCAGGGCACAGAGCAGGCATAGCCATGAACAAACAACCATAAGTACATAATGTCAGGCGTGAGGAGTGCTTGAGGGAAAATAAAGCAGGGTAAGAATGCAGAGAATTATAGAGATGTTATCTTTATATAGGGAGATCAGAATGCCTCTCTGATAAAGGAGTTTTTTTTTTTGTTTTTGTTTTTGTTTTTAGTGCAGACCTAAAGAAAGTGAGAGTAAGGGATGTGGATGCTGGGGCAATAAGAACCCCAGGCAGAGAGAAGACAAAGTGCCAAGGCCCTCCTATGGAGCCTGGGGGAGGGCACTAGACAGGAAGGAGGGAGGGGGTGGGTGTGGTGGTGGTGGTGGGGGCTGGAGTGGAGACCATCAGGCGCAGTGAGAGCACAAGAAGTCCAAGAGGTGAGGGTGGGGACGAGAAGGGTGCCTGCCATGGAGGACCTTGTTGGTCAGGCTGGAGACTCAGGATTTTTGTCTTGCTGAGGTAGAAAGTGACTCTGGAGGGCTCTGACAGAGAAGCAACATGAGTGGGGAAAGCAGGAGCCTGCTGCACTAGTTGAAACCACAGCTGATGGTGACTTGGATAGGTTGGCAGGGGTGAACAAGTTCAATAATGCTAATACGTGTCTCCACCCTGGATTTCCCCTACAGATACTCCTTTAACTGGCATTTATTGAACACCTACTAAGTAAGGCATTGGGATGAGACATTTTATAGGGGTTATTTCTTACAGTGATGTACAGATCCTTAGATAAAATATAGTAAGATTAGGATATTAGAGCTCCAAGGAATGTTAAAAATCATCTATTCCAACTACATTATTTTGCAGCCGTGGAATTAGAAATTCAGAGAGATTGAATGATTTACCCAAGATCATACAGTTAGTTAGGCCAAGAGAATGGCCCAGGACTCAGTTTTCCTTACTGTACAAAAGAGAACTTTCAAAATTAGTGTCTTACTGACTTACAAAAATAACTTAAAGTGCCTTATTTAACTTATTTCCCTTTGCTTCTTCTGATTTAAAAATAACAGCAGCAAAACTTTTTTCAAACTTGTTCTCATTAGGTTAATATTTATGAGAATCATTTTTAAAATGAATACTTCTGAAGTTTCTAAAATAACTCTTTGCCTTAGGAAGTCTATATAAATGACTATCGCCATAATCTATTGACTGGCAGTTCTGCAAATCTATCATGGATAGAAAGACCACTGACTTTCTGTAATTACTTTAGTATGCCAATCTCTTACCAAAATAACTTCTGTAGATTAAAAACAGTATTTGTCATATTCCAGAATGGGCTCAGTCTGCCTTCGCATAATTAGCTACTGTAGTAACTTCATAATACTGCCTATTCCCAAGGAAAGGAGGACATAGCATAGAGTCAGTCTTGGGACAAATAAAGGATTTAGGACAGTGAAGGACATTTTATTTCTAGAGTAAGCAGGAAATTTCATATACTTCCAACTACTCTAATTTCTTGATTTTGTATAACTCACAGACATTAAGAAAGAAAGAAAGAAATGTTACTGAGGATAAAGTAGAACTTGATAGGAATGTTCTGAATTGTGTCTTCTCTGAGTAAGTGATGAGTAGATATCCTAGTATGAAATACATGCTCTTTTCTTCCCCCCAAGGCCAAGTATATCTGAATTTTGGTTCTCACCACTACACTCAACCCTCCCTCTAGCATCCTAACGCAGGACTGCCAAAAGGCTACAGCTTTCTTTTTCCCTTTGGAAAACTTGTTAAAGATTTTAAGCCCTGGAGGATCTGAAATATAACCCCGATCCAGGGAAGAACATTCTAGAAAACTGACCGGTGGGTAGTCAGGCTTGTTTCCGAGATGGGCAACAGAGTTTCTTGTAAGGTAATAAGTGTGAAAAGAGCCATTTCCCAATCATCTTGTTCATTCCATGCATATTAGGAGAGAGGAAAATTCAACTGAGGGCCAATTGTCCCCTAAGAATCCTTTAGTTTAATTATGACCACAGTAGATTAAACGTCTGTATGACATCCGTGTTAGCTCCGCCGCTCCTGCTCTTGGCAGTGAAGAAAGGAAACATTTTCACTACTAAAAAGACAGGGAAGCATGCTCTTGTGGTTCTAAAACATGGTTGAAAATTCAATTTAACTGACTACGAGGCCAGTGTGCTTCTTATAAATGAACATCTCTTTGCTGCTAATTTTGTGCTATTTTACCTTTCATTAAAAAAAGTAATTCAGGTTAAACTCAGCTGAACAGCAAAAAGCTCTTGATATTTTGAAGCATTTTGGAACAATTACTTTGACAGGAGCCCTTGACAGTTAAATGACTCCGTTAAATGAATGTTATAGAAGACACATAATGATTTTTAGTGAAATATTGAATTTAACCACAAATGAGGAAAAACCAGTCATAAGCACTATGGGTATATTTGAATAATAACATCTTGCTTATGAACCTCAATGGATTCTATAATTTCTAATAATCATGCAATCAACTAGTTAGCTGGTATGTTTCCTATCTCAGTGCTCTCAATTTAGTTTTGGTTTTTGTTGTTGTGTTTTAATCTGAGAAATCAATGTGTAAATTTTGGAAATGGCAGTAAGTTCCTCTTCCATCAGTAGGGTATTTTAGAAGTATGCAATTAATGATTGCCATCCTGCCAGTTAAGTCTTCCTCTTTCCTTTTTTCCATTTGCTGAATGAGATTCTTTCACAAAGTAAAAAATCAGGAAAAGGCAAGAGCCTGCTGCCTGAGAATGTATGAATTCACTGGCTGCCAGTGTTTCCTCCATCCGTGGGACTCCAATATTCCTTTTCTTATTTTATGGATCGAATGTGAGATAGTATCAAGCCTTTTACGTGTTTTCTCATGACTAATGACCAAAATATGTACTGAAATAATAAAACTGGTACTGTTCAATTTCCTTTTTAAATTCAATCTCAATATAAGTGGGAGTGCCCGTGTATGGTGGTGAAATCCAGCTCATTATAAAATTCTGTTTTCTGGAGAAGAGGAACTAGAAATCCTTGCAGACTGAAAAAACCATGTGGGTGAAGGGTCTGTGGGGACATTCAGGTTGAAGAAACGAGTCGGAAAAACAGTAATGTTTTTGTCTTGTTTGTCTGGCAAAGAGTGGTGAAAAGTCAACGCCAAGCATCCTGGGTAGTATTGCCTAGATCTCTACACGCTATGTGCAGCCACACTTCTGGATTCTTTCAAGCACGTGAGTTACATGTATCCATGTACCCACTGCTGCCTGCATTCACCTTCATACAGCAACTGCCTGTTTACATCTACTCCCCAGCAGATGGTCACTCCTTCAGGACAGGAGTGTCTTTTGATCTTGCATCCCCCAACATTTCTGAGCCACGGTAAGTTGTTCAATAAATGTACTTCTGAACAAGAAACGTTTAACTCCTTCAGCTGATACTGAAAATACTTGGAAAAGGCCAGATAGTTTCAATGTGTGACACTAGTCAAGTCCATACATACAGCATGCTGACTAAATTATTACTTGTAAGCATACTAACTTAGAGTGTGGTTCACAGACCAGTAGCATCACGTCACATTGGAGCTTTATAAATATGGAATCTCAGTCCCTGTGGCAGACCACCTCAATCAGATCTGCCTTATACCAAGATGCCCAGATGACTTATGCAAAGTATGAGAAGCCTTTACTTAGCATATATGACTAGTACGATGCCTGAAGAAGTGATGGTGTCCATTGTGGACAAGAACCAAGGCCACGGCAAGATGAAAACTACAGAGGTCAGCTTGAGAAACTTTTAGAGCTCTCTCAGGACAGAGGCACAGGTGGGAAACTCACTTATACCAGTTCCTTTGGAACTTTCTCGATACTCTTCACGCTTTTTCCTGTTTAAAGACACAGCTGCTCTTAATAATGGTCTTTTCTCCTTGGTGCAAAGATAGTATTTATCGCCAGCATGCTGACATTTGCAGGAGTTTTGGCTTTCTCCACTGCAAGTGTGGATGATTGAAAGGATATTGCTGACACCTGAATAAGAAATCCAATGACTCCAAGCTATGTAAATTTAATTATTTCCTTTAATTTTTTTTTTCAGGAATCTCTTTTTATTTTCCTCAGCTTTGGAGAAGTCCTAGCAATTTTCATTTAAAAGAAATACAAGTCAGCAGTGGTTCACTGAACAGGCTGACACGCAATTTCATAGGGGGAGAGGAGCTGTGTCTTTAATCTAATTTGTGCTCTCAATTCCCAGCTAATGTATCTAGGGATCCTGATGTATGCATTTACAAGGAGACATCTGTAGTGCAGAGTCCAACTCTCTGCAATTCTCTGAAACATGGGTAAAAAATTAGTCTGGGTTCTTGTAGCTGCCCTACAACACAATAAATCTTGATATACTCACAGATGTAGAAATATTCCCGGCCTGGCCTGAATTCAAATCCTAGAGAAAAGGGTGTGAAGAGCTGGAATTTTTCAGAGAACTTCAGTGGTCCATTTGGAGAGTGAGGCCGGTTACATTCCCATCTCTTGAACCCCTTGGAAGTATGGTCGCAGGCACTGTAGCCATCAAAGTTCACCATGTAGAGGACATAACGCTCAGTCTTATCTTCTGGGACCGAGTCCTCATAGTGAGGGCAGAAAACATCCAGGTAGTCATTGATACAGACGTCGATGTGGTAGTCACCCCTCTGGAATCTGTTGGAAGAAGAAGACAAAGATGAGATTATTCATAAGGAAAAGACTTTCTGCTTGGAATCAGTGGTGGAATAACTTTAATCATGCTGGTGCTAAGAGATTTATTATAATAAGTTTTTATTGCAGCCCATTATGATTCAGGATATGTTTCTATTCCAAATACAAGCAACAACAATTTTACAGAGGAATTCTATTACGTTTGTTTCAAAACACGCTGAAAATGGAACTCTTCACATTCATCTTAAGTAGTTAAGATACTGACTTGCTGTTTTCCTTTCATTCTTAAAATCACATATACTGAAGCAAAGTTTTGATATTTCAAAATAGTGTTTCATTTGATGAGTGTTTTTGAATGAATGAATAAGTCATTTAAAGAACAAATGAATGACTGAATTGGTTTTGCTATAATTGCGACCATTCTCAATTTTCTATGCAAATGTAGAGAACTAGAGTTATCAAACTGAGAGAATTAGGACCATAAAATTTAAAGGTTGGAAAGAAAAGTCCTAGGACACTTCCCCATTAGAGGAAAATAAAAATCTAAGGCATAATGTCAAAGCAGTGAGTGAGTGAGCTCGACCAGGAATGGTGACTTCAGGTCCTAATCAGCTGTTTCCATTAGTGAATCTGCTTATGTCACAAACTCATTTCAGCTGATCTCTTTTGATGCCCCCTCCCTTTCTATATTAAGAAAATGAAAACCAGCTAAATCAAATCATCCTCCTCCCCTTCCCCTCCATTTCTTTTAACTTTATAGGTTGTGTCCTAGGGCTGGACTGACGACACAGATGAACACAGCAAACCCAGGACCACTTCCATCCTGAAATAGTTAAAATAACACACACACGCACCTCACCTTACACACTGCACTGTCTGTTTCAACTCTTACCTTACAAAAATTTTGAGCATTTGTGTTAACTAATATGTCTTTCCCGATTGGATGAAGAGATTTCTCAGGAACTAATGATGTGTGAAACAGGAATTGTTACGTATACTGCTTTCTAAAGTCAGCACAGAAAAGTCTACAAAACCCCTCTGTTTTTAGCTAGTGAGGAAATTCTCTGAGGCCTTAGAAGATTCATCATAAAACTATGTTACTGCTGAAAGACAAGCTGAAAGACAAGCACCCATCAAGCCATGTAGTCTTCAAGTCAGATGGTCTCAGTGTAAACATGTCAGTGAGCTGGTCTACTCCATTTCTGGACACGCCTACATTTTAGCCAGTGTCCTCGTATACGGAGCATCAATTTGCTTCTGTGTAATTTCTATCCAGTGATCCTACTCCCACTGCCTGACATCGCCAAGAACAAATCTAATTCCTCTTCTACCAGGCACTCCGTAAAACATTTGGACGTGTCAACTAGGTCTCTGTATCTTCCTTTCTCACTACGTGAAAATCCTGACTTGTTTGGTTATTTCTGTTCCCAGGCTCCTCACATTCTAGATTCTCAACTCTCCTTATGCTCTCTAGTTTCCCAGTGTCCCCTTAAAATGTAGCCCCCAAACACAACAGACACCTCCGACAGGCTGTTTTGACCAGCATTCAGCCCAGGAGATATACCACCACCTTCACTCTGGATACTACACATTCATTGCAGAAGTTGAGATTCCTTTCTAAAATGCAACGTGATCAAAGTGGACACTACTCATTTTAGTGAGTAACCTCAATTTAAGGACTGGATTGCTGCTGGTAGGGTGGGGGAGTCATAAACCGTCTGACCCTCAGTTTCCTCATATGTGAACTGGAACAATAATGAGAATCTGCCTTGCTAACCTCACACAACTGCTTCAAGTCTCCGATGATGAAACATCTAAAAAGCACCATGTGAATGTGCAGCACTATTATCAGGATATATTAAAGCATATTAAAATCGATAACTAACACAATACTAACTCTTAAGCAACATCAGTAAATGTATACGACAACACCAACGATAATCCCCGTGTCCCTTTTTAAAAATAATATAAAAATCCTACATTCTGTCCTCACATATCAAATGATCCACAGAAACTTCCATTTGATCAATGCTTTTGAAAAGCAGCATGCTGATTTATACGAGGAGAATAAGGAAAGATGATCAGATCACTTTTTCTGTTAGAGGGTCTCAAAATGCATAAACATTTAAAAAAAAACCCACTTGGAAGTATTTATTTCTTTATATTTACAATGATCACGGAACTAGGTTTACTCTTTCTTCATTACTGGCAGACGATGATTTGTCAAGATGCAAGGAAAGCCTGTGTTGCTTTTAAAAGATTTCTGAACATCAAGGTAACATCACTGCCAAAGTACAAAGAGAAGACACTGCAACGTTCAGATAAAAGGGTGCTGGGATATGAATCATCAGCACTCAAAGTAGCCTGACAGTTCTGGCTGAGAGCCAGGCAAGAAATGCAGCAGGAGGCAATGCCCAGATGCACTTTATATTATTATATTATTATTATAGATTTTAAAGACATTCAAGGGGGAAGTTTTTCCTTTCCCTAAGTGTCACTCATTTGAGCTTGTACTAGCACCTGACACTGCTTAAAAGTGTAGGGAAAAAAAAATTAAAACTGCCACTGTCCAGACTCATTTGTTTATTGCTTTATTCTACAAATTGTCTGATTTTTTTGATGCCCTGAGTTTACTTTCCCTTTTCCAACTTTTCTCCCTGTTAATGCTGCTTAAGTTTCAATAAAACAATCCATGAGATTGAAGACACATTTTATACTGGGTTGACCTTTTCCCTTTCTGATGACATTATACTCTGTGTGGGGTGTTCAATGAATCACTGTGGAGCCTATTTTGAGTATGTGATCACTCCAGCGGTTAGTAGTTCTACCCCTCTATCCACATGACAAAGATGATGAGTCACCATAGAATCAACTTATGCTTCTGTTTCACATCTTCAATTTGTATAAATTAGTTTAATAATGTAATTTCCCCCCAAATGGACAATATAAATATAAAAACATCAATAAACAAAAACTCATAAAAGGCATTTCTATAATATACCCAAGTACGATCCAAAGAAAAGTTTAGGGTTATATAGGGATAGATATTACCCCAAATCATGCTCTTTGGCTACAAAGTAGTACTGGACCATTCTTTTTGGGCCTTACTGTGAAAAGGCACATACGTATGGCTAATACAATTGTTTATTATGTTATATTCATTATCTCGATTTAATCTCCATCTTAAATCCTAAAGAACACTATACTATTGGTACTCCCGCTTAAAAATGAGGATACTGAGACTGAGAAGTTAAGCAATGTGCTCAATGTCACCCAACTAGTAAAACGTGGAGGCAGAAGTCAAGCCCAAGCATTGAGACCTCACTCAGAACTGAAGTTCTTTATTATTCTACTTCCAGAGAGAGTAAATTGCTCAAGTCAAGTTCTTAGGTCAACCTTTTATTCCCCCAGAAAGGCAGTTCTAATTCTTGATGGGGTTTCAGTTCTCTCCTTCATTCCCTTCATTCACTGATGCAACAAACACTTGCTGCATCCAGGATATGCTGTGTTATGGCTTTACATGTGTTGTCATATGAAATCCTTATTAGGTAGTTATAATTAGCTTTATTTGAACAATGAGGAAATGACACTCAGATTGTTATCCTCTTAGTTCATTTTTCCCCCCCACAGGAAATAAGCAGCAGAGTTAGGATTTCAACCCATATCTTATCTGGCCCTGAAGTAAATTCTCTTTCCTGCTAAATGCAATGTTCCCAAGTTTTACCAGTTGTTGTAATTCCCCTGACCTGAAGGAGCCCTTTTAAGGGTTTTGGTGCCATTGGGTTCCCTTATGTTTACATTGATCTTCTAGGGAAGTCTGCTGCAAGCTGTGCTGGCCCTGCTCCCTCCCCACTCCATTGGTCCCAAACTCCTAAACTGAAGGGTGTGTCAGCATCCAGAATACATCTCAGATCGCAGGGTTAGCTCCTGACCCGTGTATACCAGTCTGTTCTTTCACAGAAGAAAGTGCTATTAAGCTCAGTAGCTGCTGACATAAAGGCATCTTTTTTCCCCCCCATCAGGAAACAGCTTTCATGAACTTTAGTTCCTATTAAAAGAGCAAATTCAAACCTAGGAAGAATGATTCCACATGACAATATTTACAAATGTCATGGGCGGCACGGCCGCCACTTTAAACGCACTGGTAAATTTCTTGGAAATTTTCTTGTAAAGGTCTCCCCTTTATTCCTTCTCTTTAATTCCATCCACTCTATCTGTGGTGCTCTTCCTCTCTGAAATCATTGCATATTATGAAGCGTAAGAATTTCTGGCTCCACACCAACAAGCCAGCAATAATTACAATACAATCTCTACTAAATTATCACAGTGGCTTACAATGTAAAAGCATGCACCGGTACCACACTTAGAAAAGTGACTGCGTTTGAGTAATATGATTACTGCCCTGTGTTCTCATAATACAAAAGTCTCAAATGCCAGGAAACATCTTGTATGCATAGAAAGACAGTCCTTGTTCTCCACTGAGTTGCACTGCTACAGGGCCAGTGTTCCACTTAACATACAATATATATATACCCTGTTGTAGCAAGAATACATTATATACATTTGCCAAAATTGGACAGTAGGCTGGTTAAGAATCAGTGTCATATATATGTGTATATATATATATATATATATACACATATGTGTGTGTATATATATATATATATATGTATATATATACACATATATATATAGATATATAATGAAAGGGTCATCCTAGTTAATTAAAAGAAGGAAAATTCAGTATGGCAACTAGTTCTTTTTTTATCAACTCAATTACTAAACATGAATTATGCATTTTATGGTAGGTCTTGATGTCCCAGAAGCTGCCTGAAAGGTTGGATATAAAAAGCACATTTCACAGCTACTGATAGCAAAAGTAACAACTGAAGTTGGGATTTCAACTAGAAGGTCTATTTGCAGACATGTGTGTCTTAGTTTGTCTTCAGTGTTTATCTTCAGTGTTTACCTGATGACATGCCACAGCTAACCGTAGTTTTGATTATACCTTTAACACTATTGTTAATATCCCTCTCCTTATTTAACTCGTCTACAGAGAGTGATTCATGACTTGGACTCAAACGAAATAAAGACACAGATAAGGAACAGTCAACAATTTGCCTTTTCATTTAAGTTATCAACAGTGCCCCAGCTTTGTCCCCAGACAGGGACCAAACATTGCTTCCTGACCAGAGTCAGCAAGAACCATGAAGACTTCCCTCGTTCTAACCAAAGAATTCATCTGCAGACTGAAAGAAGCGCCATCTAGTACTTGAATACTCTGGTCCTTTACCAACTTCAAATGGAAGGCCTCCACTTATTGTGACGCGGTCCTTGGTTCCTCTCCACTCTGGTAAGTAGATGTGCCCTAGCTTTCTTTCTCAGTGGATGGTTCCTCATGCCATTGACCTTACGTCCTCCTCTGCCCCACATGCTCGTGTACTGTGGATACTGACAGCTGGGAGGGCTAACCGTGAAGGGCACGTGGGCAGCGCCCCGGGTTTCGGGCTGCAAAGGAGCAGCACGGTAACCATCCTTCTTTGAGCTCCTCTTTAGCCCCTTTCCCCTGCGGTGTGCCTCCTCTCCCTCCTTCCTCATCTGCTAAAGCCAAGATGCATTTCATTTTAGTAACTGGAAAAGGAAGGGTATGGTGCATATTTAAAACATTCTAAATTGGCCTTTAGCATATGTTGCTGGCACAGCAGAGAGCCTGCTTCCAGGGAAATATGTACTGAGGTATTTTATCAAGCACAGCTCCTGAGTGAAGTTTCTTCACTCCATAAATATAGAAACAGCATTTCTGAAGGGAGACAGAGTAGTTATTAGAGGTTAGGAAGCTGTGAGACACTTTTATCCCCCTTTCATGTAGTGTTTTAAAGTATTCAGTAATGAAAATGTTATTTCTCATGAACTGGATAGTTGATTATTACATTTTAAATGCATTTTAATCTGTCAAAGGGGTGATTGTCTTAATGTTCCTATTTGAACAGAACTACAATGTCACTTCTTTAATTACAAGGCAACTTAATGTATTACATTCTGAAATTGAAATGTAAAAGAAGGATATGATTTATGGTTAAAGATTAAGGAAATTTATCAGCTTAGGGTTCCTCCCAAATTTTGAACTAAATCTAGAGTGAATATATCTTGGCAGCACGGTCTTTTGACTCTACTCTTATTGATTTAAAGGCTAATTTCAGAGTAAGATGTCTCTTCTTAACCAGAAGAATTTCTCATTTGTCCTGGAAGTCCTAATGGGCCCTCGACAGACATGGGGTTTGGTTTATAAACACGTTTCGCGAGGAGATGGGCAGGATGGCAGTCTCTGTCGCAAACATGTCTCTCCTTGTCTCCTTCTGTTATTCTCTCAGCACAGAATGCAAGCCTTATGGCTTTCATATCCTGAGTCTGAAGATGCTCTTTTTGTTTTGTTTTGTTTTCCTGCAGAGGTTAGAGCATGAAATACAAACAGCAAATCAAACTTAGGGTAGATGAATAATAGCACCTGGGGGCTGAAGCAAGATTTGTTTTGCTGGTTTTTAATGTCTTCTTTCTCTCACGGGCTGAAACATGTCTGTCATCCACATGCATTGGTAACTGACCTTCATTTTTGGCTCTGAGACGGAGTCCTGCACAGTTTCACCACTACCAGGCCAGCTGCTAAGGCTCAATGAAGCAAGTATGAATGAGGTTTGATGACCAAAACACATTTCAGGCAGTCGAATCCACTCTTCCAGGCTCTAGAACATACCAATCCCAACTAAAATTCCCAGAGAAGTGGAGATTTACAGGCTAAAAAATATTCAAGGATGAATTTCAGAAACGTTTCTTACTTATTTTTGCAGTTAAAGCACTGTATGCCATAACACATACACTTGTATCCAACGGAGCACAAGATAACTGACAAAATAGTTAGAACTCGGCGCTGGTGTTCTATCTATCCATTAATATCAATTCCAATAAAGTTCTTATGCATGCATGTTTTGGTAATTATAAATTCTGCAGCATAAGAGCTTTGCCTTGAATTCAGTAACTGCTGGTGATGGGAATAAGATGTAATTTGCGTGGCCAGATATTTGGAATTCATTAGTGCTTTAGTACAGTAACCTGTCACCTTTTTTCTTTCCACGTGTGTACGTGGGCGCGGTTTAAAAATTTCACAAAACCTCAACTAGCTTTTGTTTGTTGCTTTTCTGCTACAAGTCACATCAGTCTGAATGACTTTTTACAATTGGTATCTCCCAAGAGTAACACCTGTTTCAAGTACAAGGCCCACAAAATCTTCTCTCTTCCAGTGTTTTAACTCATTTGGAGTTTGTTTTATTAGCTTGACTGAGGAGCTCCAAAGGAAACAAAGCATTAAATTGGCAGAGCCTAAACAAGACTTGCCTTCAGGAAGGGACTGGGAGCTTTGGGTGACAGTCTAATTGCTTCTAAGCCCCCAGAGCGGCCTCGCGCATGGAGTAAGAATGTGTCAACATCAACAGGCTAAGTCAGCCAAAGAATTAACCAGGCAGAGCCCCACACACCCAACACACTGCAGATCACTAAAATGGCTTTCCACAAGGGAGTAAAATAAAATAAAGAATCACAGATTATGTCCTAACAGAGGTCACTTCCACAAAGCAAAACAGGCTCTTTCTCGACTCCTGCTGGTCTGGGGCTTCCTGACAAAGCTGCCCTTCGTGCCCTAAGTTATCCAGAGTTTTACATCATGTCAGGCGCACAGAACAGAGCACCTGCCACATAAACACGGGTCCAAAAGCAGATGCAGGAAATCAGTGAACAGGTTATCCAGACGCTGTCCTAGGAGAACAGGATTAAACAAACTGATTCTGTTCAGGGGATGCAGGAGTCAATCAAACAAATAAGCCACCTGCCAAACTGCTTACATACAGGTAGCCCCTTTGTATCTTATGGGGATGGAGTTACCCAGTGGAATTTCAGGCTACTCCCAGTTTTAAGAGTAATTAACACTAATTAACAATAACCAAAGAGCTATAATAAATGTCATTTCTGTTAACCAATTCAAATAACGGTTTAGTGGTTCTTAAGTCCCGATATGCAACAGTGAAATAAATATTTGTCTTCTGTCTTGATCATAACTTACGGGACATTTTACCATCAAAGTCTGAAATCTGGCCCTGACTTTTCAAAAATTC